TTCTGTCAAAGGTGGGGACGTGTCTGTCCTCGACCCAGCCCCAGCTTGGGATGTCCGTTTTATTTATTTATTCGTGCGCTGGGTGGTAATCGTCATCTGTCTGCTCTGCTGTGCTTCTCGCTCGTGCGTCCTTGGGAAGTTGTGCTGACCTCCTTTTATCGTCGTCCTCCTGCTCTCCTAGGAATCCTAGAGGAGAGAGAGATTTTTAGCAATACCAAACAACTCTAAACACTCACACGTCATTTGGGGCCTGGAGCCCTGTTCACGCGCGCGCGAGACGTGCAGACAGGGTTGCCAGGTGAGAGCGAATGGCGCGGTTCACGCCTCGCACAACAGAGAGAGAGATGCGCTCTGCATGGTGGGACATAAAAGAGAGCGAGTACTTGGGCGAGTAGGCTGTGCGGTCAACGCTGCCGCGCGCGACTTTGCGCGCGAGGCGGCGCAGCTTGAGAACGGCGGTGGGCGAGAAGCCGCCGCCGAACGTCTCGTGGAGCAGCAGGTTGAAGTTGTTGCGCTTGACAAAGATCGCGTCGTGGTAGAAACCGCGATGCGCGCGCCTTGACGTAGCCGTGGCCGGTCTTGTGGTCGAAGGGTTGGCCGGGCTGCCCGCGCGCCTTGCAGCCCATGTTTAGGCGGCGGGCCTTCTCTTCGGTGTTGCCGAAGGCGTAGGAGTGGCCAACGGAGGCGGGCGTGCCGCCGCTCGAGGCGTTGCCAACGCCCGCCGAGGAGGTCTTGAGGAGGGGCGTCCAGAGCTTGACTTCATTCACCTCATCGCATCCTCCCGGGCCAGCGTGGGGTTCCGCGAGGTCGACCTTGTACCCCTCGTTGTACTGCCGGGTGAGCTCTGGTTTCTCCTTGTCACCGTGCACGACCGGCGCGTTGGCCGTGCCACGTGGCTGTGTGTGTTTTGGCCTTTATACGTTTTTCTCGCCCAGTACCTCCTGTATCGGGGTTATGCTAGGGGTTATGGGGGGTTTACGAGGTGTGAACGTGAACAGAGTAGCCAGATCGCTGTCGATCGTTACGGCACGCATGGGGGGCCTCCCGGACGTATGATCCCAGCCCAATAAGCGCCACGGAGCAGATTTGGATTTTTGACAGAATTAAATGCACTGCCCCCGCACGGTACTAACGATCGTAGTTTTGGGGGCGGCGCCCCTCACGGCACCACACTGACGCAGGACAGCCCGAGATTAGCCTAGCAGTGACTGGGAATCGCCTGCCGGTCGGCTTGGCATGAGCCAAGCACTTGGGTGGCCGTCAACCGAGTCCGAGCGGCGCCTGAGGTGGGTGCCACGGCGTCCGCACGAAGGCGTGGCGGGGTGAGGAGCCAGGGGTGGTGAACACCTCCCCGACGGGCGCGCGGCGCGCCGGATGGTCCGCCGAGGCCGCCGCCGCCCCGGCGGCGGCGATGGGGGCGGCGGCGCCGACCCGGCCGGCGTTTGTCGGCTCCACCTACAGAATAGCAGTCTCTGTGGGTCGACGATACTAACTCGGTAGTAACGCTGAGCGGTGCTGTGCGACGCCGCGTCGTGCGCGAGGCGACCTCCTGAGGCTACCTGAGCTGGCAATGGATGCCACCAGGACGCACGGCTAGCAGGAGCCAGTCGGGCATGCCCTGCTGTGGAGCAGAGCCTGCTGGCGCACCGGCGATACTAACTCAGCGCGCCGCGAGAGGCGAATCTGGGCGACTTTGGAGGCGCAGTTCTCGAGGTTGCCGTCGACGATTGATGTCGGGTAACTTGTCACTGCCGTCCGGGAAGCTCTTCTCTCAGCAGGCCGAGCGCCGTGGCATCGCGCGGCTCGCAGCGCTGTCGCGGCGCCGAGAACCCCCAAAAGCTACCCAAGCTCAATTTTATATAGCAGGGCCCGCCCCCTGTTCAGTCTAGCGTAGACTGAACAGGCGCTCTGCAACCTCCGAAAGTCGCATCTGAGGCGGCGGGCCCCCGTGGCGTGACCCAGCGGAGCACTCCTTCGCTGCTCGTCATGATCGGTAATGTCCGAGTAGCTGTGCGGACGGCTTCTTGTCGCTCTCGTCGAGAGCGTTTTGGCGGCCCGGCGGGTGGGAGAATCTGTGTCGTCTGATGTGTCACTGTGTACGTCACATCGGTCTTGATAACAAGCACGGTCGATCCGTCGAAGCGATATACTCGTCACGTCACGCTGGACGGCTTGCACGGAACTCTGTGCCGGCACACACAGGAAGAGCCGTACGGCAAGAAGATCTCGATAGGGAGCGAGAATCGTTAGAGGTGCTCCGAGAGGTATCAAGACTCCGTCATGACGCGGTAAGATCACTCCAAAAATGACCGCGCAGATGTCGGATCTCGTTGAGATATCTTGCAAAATCTGCTCTTCCCGAGCCGGCAGCACGCAGAGAGTCGCAGAAAGGCTACGAGTGCTCGACGAGTTTTGAGACCTGCGCGGTCAAACCTGGGGGGAACTGACCGCACCAGGACGGACGTCCGAAACCTGCGTGAGCACCTTTGACGGTTCTCGCTCCCTATCGAGCTCTTCTTGCCGTACGGCTCTTCCTGTGTGTGCCGGCACAGAGTTCCGTGCAAGCCGTCCAGCGTGACGTGACGAGTGTATCGCTTCGACGGATCGACCGTGCTTGTTATCAAGACCGATGTGACGTACACAGTGACACATCAGACGACACAGATTCTCCCACCCGCCGGGCCGCCAAAACGCTCTCGACGAGAGCGACAAGAAGCCGTCCGCACAGCAAGCCGGTGGAGCCGAGCGCGCGGAATCGACGATGGCGTGCCGGCCATGGGCCCGGACGAAGGTCCTGGCTCGAAAACGCGAGCAGAGGCTGCCGTGTGGGGCCACGGCGAGCCTCGGGCGAGAAAGACAGCTCTGGGTAGAGAGGAGCTGCTATATAAAAATCCGGCTTGGGAGCTCGCGAGACCTCGATACTAACAAAGACTACGATACTGGAGGTACTATCTATATTCTTTTTCCGTATTCTTTCCGTATTCTTGTCCCAAACAGGGTCTATATTCTCGATTGTGCCAAGAATACAGCTCCAAATCGGGCCTATATTCTCAAATATTCTTTATATTCCCGCTGAAAATCGCTGAAAATCGCTTCGAAAAAGAATATAGAATCGGAAGAATAACGTATAAAGGCCAATGTGTGTTTGGGTTTCTATGTTTGCGATTTGGATTTTTGATTTTCTACAATAGCCGCCATTCAGCAGGAGGTGTCAATGCCAGGCGCGGGAGGTTTATCCGGGATGCCGGATGCCAGGCGCGGGAGGTTTATCCGGGATGCCGGATTTTTTACTTGTGCGCCCCCCCCCTCCCCAAGGGCCGTCCACCGCGATGGTGCGACGCGATTCCGGCAGCAGCGCCGGCAGCTCGAGCTCGCCGAGGGACGTCGACGGCACGGTAGCGTGCGTCCCGTCTTTCGAGGCCCTCTGCGAGGCTGTGAAGCGTGAGGCGAGCGAGTACGGCCAGGGTCAAGGGCCTTTCGCAATCGCTTGCGAGGGTCGACAGTTGGTCTTTGGCGGCAGCATCGAGGAAAAGCGAGGAACTGCCGACGACGACGGCTCGAGCGAAGGTCACATGACGTCCCTCACCAGCTCACCACCGCACGGTAGCCCGACGATGCCAGCTCGACTGCAGTGCGAGCCCATCCGCTTGGGGGTGGCAACGAGGGACTCCCGGTCGAGGGCAGGGGAGCCCGATACGGCAGCAGCGAGTCCGTGTGCGTTGCCGTTGAGTGCCGCAGCCGGCAACGACGTATGCATCTCCACACCGCTTCAGCAGTTGAGAGGTCATGTCGCCAAGTTCCTGCGAGAGGCTGCCGATCCCGCGACCCTGCGCGAGCAGAGTGCCGCTATGAGCGACGCCTCCTCCGCAGATAGCCTGGACGAGCAGCTGGAGGCGGTGCTCAACGATCCCGGACTCTGCGGGCAGCTGTTTCGTGTTCGAGGGCCTGCCGCCGGTGGGAAGTCACACGCCTCGGCTCGCCGGCGTCCCGCGGCGCAGCCGCGCGGCGAGAGCCAGAGGAGAGCGAGGTCGTCGGCGGCCGTGGCGGCCGCAGCAGCCTCGGCGCCGGCGGCACCCGCTCCCGCGGAGCCAGAAGCTAGCTGTAGCGGCTCGGGCGGCTCGGGCTCTCAGCAGGAGCTCCGGGCGCAAGCAGAGCTCGCGCAGACGCGAAAGGAGCTGGCCGACGCCAGGGAGGAGCTGCGCCGGCTGCGCGCTCAGGCGAGCACACATTCAAGAGCGCGCACGCAGCGGGTGCTGGCGCCGTCTCAGCCACCAGCGCCGCCTCGGCCGCCGGCGCCGCCGCGTGCGGGGCGCTCGGCAGCGTCAAGCGGCGAGCGGATGCGGGTCGACATCCCGCCGGGCATGAAGCCAGGGCAGAACCTGCGGGTCATGACGCCGGCAGGCATGGTGTCTGCAATCATCCCGAAGGGGTCGGAAGCATTTGGCTACTTCGTGATGGAGATCCCTCCTCACACGATTCCCAATCGGACCAATGCGTCATGAAGTGAATGTTTCGCTTAGCACACTCCAGGCGCTGTTTTGGGGGGCTGTGGCCGAGGCGCCTTCATTTTGGTGTAGAGAATGAACAACGCCAATCCAAATAGAATTTACAACATATAGAAACCCGCGATCGATCGAGAGGGTCATGTTTTGTCGGGTTTTTTTACGATGAAAAAAGGAAGTTTACATTGGAATAGTCAGCGCAGAGATTAGGAGCACGAGCAGGGACCGGCCGAGGGACCACATGTGGAAGACGGCTAGTGCTAGTCCCCCATCGGGAGGACGACCCCGGCTAGTCGCCGACCACACCCACAAAGAACCCTGCACAAAGATCGCACGGGCGGGGGCCTGTTCCTTTTTACCCATCTCACAGTAGAGGAAGAGGTGTCCGTTTTTATTTATGTATGTAAATAAGGAGACGAGTCAACTTTGATGGGGGCAGCCAAATTTGGTCGACCGCAAATCGTGGAGTTGCGAGTCACGCTCGGGCAGACAGCATCGATGCCGTCGCCGGACGCGGCGGCGAGGCACACGGGCGCCGGCGTGGCGCGTCGGCAGGCCCACCACGAGCGGATGCGCGACGAGCGCGCTCGGGAGGCGGCCGCGGGCAACGCGGAGCTTCCGCCGGAGGACGACGCGGTCGAGATGGCGAGCGCCGCCCAGCTGCTGGACAGCGTGGCGGAGGCGGGCCCGAACTACACCCTGCTGCGCAGCAAGGAGAAAAATTCAGCGCAGCTGTTAGTTTTTCGCGCCAACACCTCCACACCGCCAGACCGTAAGAACCCTGTGCACAAAGATCTCGCACGGGCGGGGACCTGTTCCTTTTTACCCATATCCTAGTAGAGGTATCCGTTTTATATCTTTATTTAGCAGGGGGCAGTGACATGTCCCACAGCGCGGCCGCACGCGATCCCCCGAGCCCGCGCGCGCCGCGCCTGCCCGCGGGGGACTTCTAGCCTGCAGCTCGCCGTCCAGTCCCCTCGCGTGGCGCCTCCGTGATCCCGACCATGCCCGGTAGCAAGGCCCAGCCCTGACCGGCGCTTGGGCACGGGGCCTCCCGAGGCCCTCCCCCCGCCGCTCCGCGCCGGGCCGAGCGTTTTTGCAGCGTTTTTGATCTCTGGGTGAGTGGGCGCCCGCCCGCCGCCTCTGAGGGGTTCGGCCCCCCTAGACTGAAAACAAAAACAAAATGGAGAAACAGTAAAAAACAGCCTGCGAGCGCTGCGCTGCGCGCCGCCTACCTCGTGCGGGTGTGAGTGTGAGTGTTGAGTGACCCCAAACGGCAGGATCCAAAAACTCACGTAACCGCAGACCATTACAGAGGCGGATGGGCACGCACCCGCGCAGCGCCGCAAAAGGAGCTGGCGACGGCAATGTTCCTGATGAAGGAGCTCAACCGGTTCGAGGGGACGAGACGACATCGAGGATGTCATGTTACGCGATGGCGTCATCCATTTCGTCAAGCCACCTTCATCGTGACCGTCGCCACCCTCGCCGCCGTCTCGCCTACGTCGCCGCCGTCGCCATCATGGGCCTCGCTGCCGAGACGGTGCTGTTGCATCTGACTCAACTCTCCCAGCCCACCCATGTGGCTCCTATGCCGACGTGTCCCGTGCTCCCCCGTCCGCTGATGTCTCTGCTGCCGTCCGGCGGAGCTCTGCAGCGGGGCCCTCCTCGCCGCCTTCGCTTGCCGCTGTGCATCGCTGTCGGCTCGTCATTTCTGTCTACGGTCACATGGGGGCTGCCATCGCTGTTCTCTCTCTCTCTCTCCCAGGGTCAGCTCCAACCTGCCGTGTCGGGACGTCGCTCCCTCGGCTGCCCCCCCCGTTTTCCGCTCTGAACTGCATCGATGCACCATGCTGCGATTCTCGCCCCTTGAGCCCTTGTCCCACAGGAGCCAGGTGCGTGTGTCTAATCGTAGTGGGGGCCCTGGCCCCCCCTCTGTTTTCTGTTTTCTGTCTTTCAAAACGCCCGCCCGCCCGCCACCCCGAGGCGGCTCGGACCCCCACTCACCCCGCAGAGCGGACCAAAAACGCGGCTCAGCAGCCCCGCGGCCCCCGTCTCTCTGAACACACCCCCTGCGGTTGAGCCCTGTGGAAATCTTGAAGAAGATCCCCGTCGCACACCAAGATCGTGCAGGCGGGCGGGGACACACGCGTCCCACCATCGTCAGATTTTGACCGTTTTGATTTAGTGTGTCCCACACCGAGCAGGATACTACTTGAGGCGATTAGGTTTAGCGTTTAGGAGGAGCAGGGACCCGTGAAGAGGCGATCAGGGACCCGTGAGCGGATATGAAAAAGGTTCTGGTCGATGTTGTGGAGGACGCCGACCATCTCAGCGAGGTACTGCTCCATCGCACTGCCGCCGATGGCCGGAGACGCCGCCGCCGCGGTGGCGAGCGTGCCGGCGGCGGGGAGACCCAGCGCGCCGAGCGTGCGGCCGAGCGAGTCGACTGCGGGCGGCGCGCCGACGGCTCGCGTGCCGCCGCCCGGCTCGATGTAGATGCCTTTCTTCAGGTTCAGCACGACATTTCGGAAGCGCTGCGGATCGAGGAGGCCCTGCAGCATGCCAAAAGACGGGTCGACCCTCGGGTCGCCGCCGCCCATGGCGCCGCCCGTGCCCGCGGTCTCGATCGCGACCGAGGTGAGCACGTTCGGCACGAAGCAGCACCAGGCTGCGTACGCGGCTGGCTCGTTGATCATGATGTCCTGCACGTTGTTGATCGGGATGGTTTTCCTCGACTCGTTGATGTCGCAGCAGTCGAAGCGCCAGTCAGCCTTTCGCTTGCGCCGCACGATGTAGATGTTCTCCTTGGAGACGGCCACCCATCGGGAGTAGGCAAAGTCGGCAGCGTTGACGTCGGCCAAGGAGCAGGTGATCATGGTGCACGGTGCCGCGGGCGGAAACAGCACGGCGAGGCCCGTCATCTCGCACCGCTCCTTGTCGCTGAAGAATTGACGTGTGAGTTCATCGTCGAAGAAGAACTCCTCGAGGATTTCGTCGCTCGGCATCCACGGGCTGGCCGGATCGACCGAGAGCTGGATTCTGTCCGGGGGGGCGGGCCTCTTCGCCGGCACTGGCGCGATTTTATCCACCGACATTGTGTGCCCTCTGTCGCGGTCTGCGCCCTCAATTTGGAAAGTCTGGCCAGCAACGACGCCCGCTGGCACTTCCACCTCGTACTCCGCGCCGTTGGCCACGATCTTGATGCGCTGGCCGGCGCCCGCGCCCGCAGGGCACTCAACCTGCATGAGCCCCATCGCGAAGTAGCTCGGGTGCGCTGTGCGTACCTTACCGCCGCAGGCACGGTTGACGTACCGGCGGCTAAGGCCGAGTAGCCCGTGTTCACAGAGCTCTGTGAACACCGGCGAGAGATTTTTTCTCTCGACGTTTCTTCTGCGAAGAAACGTTCAAACACTCGGTGTCGAAACACCTCTCCGACGCGCTCGACTATAGTCTGGGGACGATCGCCTTTTGTCGACTTTTGGGACGTCGTTTGAGATGCCGGCGAGAATTCCGTTTTTTTTCATTCGATCTGAGAGCGAGAGCCGCCCAGGGGGCCGCGCCTAACAGTTCACTCACGCAACTGAACCAACGAGCCCCTGGACACTGCCCGCTCGCTCTCCCCACCTACCTACCCAGAGCCGAGAGCCTCTCTCTCTGCCAGAGTAGAGCTGTCAAACGTTAAGAGCTGAACAGTGTTGCTAGTGTTAACAGTAACAACAGAACAACAGTGGGGCTCCCCAACAACAGTAGCTAACGTTAGGCCAGCTGAACAACAATAAGGAAGGCCTGGCACGGTGACCCACGACGATCTCCAGCGTCCAGTGCGGGTAATACCCGAAAATACCCGGAAAACCCCAGGTATTTTCGGGTTTTACCCGGGTTTTTTGGCATTTTCTGCTTGCTGACCACTGAACAACAGTAACAACAGTAACAAACAGTAACAGCTTGGGCTGGGGAGAACACTTGAACAACGTTGAGGATTTTCAGCCAACAATAGTGCAACTATTAGGCCCAAAGTTAACGTTTGACAGCTCTATGCCAGAGAGAGCGCACGGAGACGACAGAGGCCGGTTGTCAGAGGGTGGCCCGCCTCAATAATTATTGCCAATATAACCAATATCGACCCCCTGCCGCCTAAATAAATAAATAAAACGGTCAAACTCTGAGACGAAAGTGGAAAGAGAAAATCTCTCCAAGTCCCTGGCTGGATGAGGATGTGAGGTTACCGACTGCACTCCAAGTGCTCCAAGTAAGTGCTCCAAAAGTGCTCCAAGTGCTCTCTCTCTCTCTCTCTCTCTCTCTCTCTCTCTCTCTCTCTCTCTCTCTCTCTCTCTCTCTCTCTCTCTCTCTCTCTCTCTCTCTCTCTCTCTCTCTCTCTCTCTCTCTCTCTCTCTCTCTCTCTGAGACGAGATGGGATTTAGGGACATGTGTCCCCGCCCTGGCGCCTGGGCACGATCTTGCTTCACTTGGTTCTCCACCCGATCGCAGAATGGCGGCAGGTGGCGTGGACTGACGTACATACCGTCCACAAGACAATTTGACAAATCGTGCACGCAAAGGGGGCACTAGGAACCCCCACCCCTGTGCTTGCTGAATGCGCACCTACACCGCAGCGGCCCCACCGCCGGCCGCCGCGCCGAAGCCTGCGCCGAAAGGATGCTTCGCTGCCTCCGCGGCCTCGGCGGCGAGCAGCTCTCGCTCCTTGTTCTCGATGATGGCGTCCGCCTACAGACAGAGGCCGTCCGCGGGTATGATCCGGGAGCATCCCGAGGGCTCGCGCGAAGCAGGGGGGGCGCGCCTCGGCAGATCGCCATTCGGGCGCCCACTTCTCGCGCACGCGCGGAGGCTTCACCTCCTCCAAGTTGGTCGGTCGGAGCAGCACTGTCTCGAGGCTGCCCTCGACCTGCACGCCGTACCGACCCTTGTCCGCGTGCCAACACAGGATGGTGCCTCCGCAAGAGTTGAGCTCGGCGCGAGCTGACAGGCCATGTATTCGCACCTTGGCGTGCGGCTCGAGTGTTTCTGCAGGAGCGCCGCTGCTACGGAAGGGCGCTCTCTCGACATTCATGGGCCTCAGCGCGATCTGCTCGGTGCCGATTCGGACCGTGTAGCGCCTACCGCGGCCGCCAAAGGCTCAGAAGAGGCGGCGGGAGGGTGGGCGTGCGCTTGAGAGGATACGCACCCGTTCGCCTCGTCAAAGGAGGTCGCCTCGCCCACCTGGGAGTTTAGCTCGGGCCGGCGAAGCAGCCCGCTGACGACGACCCGCTCCCCGACCAAAGCCATGTCCGCGCGACTAGCTGGATGTCTCGCAGTCGGGCTAGAGGCTGCGGTGTCGGGCACTCTCCGCCCAAAGCTTGTTGGTGATAAACAAACTTTAGTTCGTGCTAGTGAACTGAGGAGAAGCGGGTCGAGCCTCGGCGCAGAGGGCAGCGCCTAGCGGGCGGGAACCCTTACCCCCGCGCCCGCCGCTGCCCGCCGCTTTGTGCGCGGGACATCCGAGCGCCACGAGGCTCCGACACAGCTCCCGACTAGCGTCGGCTCCTGCTCAGACAGGCGCCAACCTATCAGTTCTCAAAGCGAGCGGAGGCGGCGCTACCCGCCGGCCCGCCAGCGACGCACGCTGCAGGCGCCCCGGCGCGCAGGGCAGCCAGGCCGGACCGAACGACTACCGATGCCGGCAACGTCAATGCTCTCCTCCATGCAGAAGGTGCTGCGCAGCCTCCTCGTCGGCGACGACGAGGTCATCCCCGCGCGCGGCTGCTCCCGGGCCGACGGCGTCGCGGAGCCGACGTCGCCCCCCGCGCCGCTCGTCTGCAGCCCCAGCCAACGTTCCGAGTTCAACGATCCAGGTGACCGTCCACCCCCCCTCGCCCCCCCTCCCCCCCCCTTTTTCCCTCGGCCGGTGGGCACAGCGGCTCCAGCCCGT